TCCGTCGACCATGGGCTAGAAAACCGCACTAGTCTCAAGTTGGCAACACCTCAAGAAAAAAAACCCTAGAAGTTGATATGGTTTGCGATTAGGTTGATGGGTCCTTGGGGTGTTTTGTTTTCTGCTGTGAGGTGTGTGATCACATGTGTTTGATCGATGTGATGAAGACGCTGTGTTTCATGTCGCTTGCATATTGATTTTGTTTGATTAGGATAGTAGATGATCATGATGCCTTTGAATGTTGTGTGTATTGAGATGCATTTTGAATATAAAGAAGGAAAATCATTGGATGTCTAATGTATTATTCGTTCTCATTGGACCATTTCTATTCTGTTTCCCTGTTGATTGATTAAGAGGGAGAACACGTTTAGGATTTAGTCATATCATATAACCGGAACCGGAAGAGAATGCATCGGTGCTCTTCCTTGTACGCATTACTGGCAAGGAGAATCATAATATTAACACTGAAATATCTGCACGTCAACTTCGTGGTAAAAATCGCATCCTTATCGGTATGTACTCCTAATGTTCAGTTCGGAAACGAATTTTAAATTAATAAGTTTTATATATTTTAGGAAAGCAAGCGAACGAAATCGGTCTGCTGGGAGTTTTTCGTGAGCACGTCAAAGATGCTAATGAGAGTTTGCTCGCTGCGGGCAACTACACAGAAAGTGAAACAATTGAAACTCTCAAGAAAGCCGCATATGATTATAGAAAAAAGATGCATGTTGATGAAGACATTTTCAAAGAATGTCGAATTATCGCTCGCGCGTATCTTGCGGCGGATGTGACATCCACTAATCTTAAAGGTATGCCAAAATTGTACCAGAGAAAACCTTGTTATTAATTATATTTTCTGCTTTTATCCAAAGGATACGTTCACGTCGTTGGTGAAGCGCCGTTTCGTGTGCATCTGTTTTCAGAATCCCAAATCGAACGATATATCAGGTATTGTACCAAAGAGAAATATTCTTACGTTCATATCGATGCTACAGGAAGTGTGCTCAAAAAAATGCTGGAGCAAAAACTTTCCATGCTATATGCGCTTGTTTTTAAAGACGGGAATGACTCGAATGATACCATCCCGCTTGCTCATGGTGCTCTTGCCGATCACACTGTTTCGAGCATTGGTGATTTCTTCGGAAACGTGGCGCAAAGTATTACTCAAGTGGAAGGCAAATTAATTCTCCCTTCTTTTTTTGTGATTGATTTTTCTCCTGCTATCTTGAATGCAACTCTTCAAGCATTCAATGGAGAAAACATTAAGATTCATCTTAATAGATGTTGGAATGTTCTGTGTAGTAAGTACAATACTCAAGAATTACGATCCAATTACGATCGTAATTCTTGAGTATTGTACTTACTACACAGAACATGCAAGCGACATGAAACACAGCGTCTTCATCACATCGATCAAACACATGTGATCACACACCTCACAGCAGAAAACAAAACACCCCAAGGACCCATCAACCTAATCGCAAACGATCACACTACATCACAAATATCAACAACTGATTAAATCACCACCTGTCACATCAAACTCATCCATTCTCAATCATCAAGAACAACGCGATATATGATGATCAATCGTGGTACAAAATATCTTATCTTCCCCAGTTATATATATATTTTATAGCGTGAAAACTAATTAGCGATTTTCTCATTAACTGTGCGTCGAAAAGAGAAAAGTGAAGTGTGAACTTTATAGAGCTTGATGAGTTCTAGTTGGGTCCATGACGAAGAAAGTTGGGTCCAGTCACACAGCGAATCGTGCCACAAAATATCTTATTTTTCCCACTTATGTATATATTGCTTTTATAGCGTGAAAACTAATTAGCGATTTTCTCATTAACTGTGCGTCGCAAAGAGAAAACTGAAGTGTGAATTTTGTAGAGCTTGGTGAGTTCTAGTTGGGTCCAGGACGAAGGAAGTTGGGTCCAGTCACACAGGGAATGGTGCCACAAAATATCTTATTTTTCCCAGTTGTATATATATTGCTTTTATGGCGTGAAAACTAATTAGCGAGTTTCTCATTAAGTGTGCGTCGGAGAGGGAAAAGTGAAGTGTGAATTTTGTAGAGCTTGATGAGTTCTAGTTCGGTCCATGGCGAAGAAAGTTGGGTCCAGTCACACAGCGAATCGTGCCACAAAATATCTTAATTTTCCCGCTTGTATATATATTGCTTTTATAGCGTGAAAAGTAATTAGCGATTTTCTCATTAACTGTGCGTCGGAGAGAGAAAAGTGAAGTGTGAATTTTGTAGAGCTTGATGAGTTCTAGTTGGGTCCGTGAAGGAGATAGTTGGGTCCAGTGACACAGCGAATCGCGATGGGAGATACCGAAATATTTTGGAAATGGGTGGGTTTTTAGGTTAGGATTCGTGTTATTGTCGTTTTGTGACTGGTATGCTGTAATGAATTTTGGAGCCCAATGTGTTGGGTTTGTAGAGCTCGCTGAGTTCTGCTTGGGTCCAGCGAGAGTGGGTTTGGGTCCAGTTATGGGGTGAATCCATTCAGGAAATATTCGAATCCTGACCTAAGATATCCTACGTATGTATAGAATGCAAAAATTAATTGCTTCTTTATGAAAAGGGAAAAGGATCCATCTAGAAATATGATGATCACTTTATATAGGGATGGTATGTATCACCAGGAGTTATAAGAGAATCGGTTAAGTCTTATCGAGCACTAGTATAGAAGATGAACGGATCCAATGCATTTTAACGGTCATATTATAGAAGAAGCAGCTTGAACTTACCCAATCTTGTTTAAAAAGTAGAAATATTATTATAGAACAATAATTGAAAAAAATAAAAATGATCTTTTTTTTGAGAATTAGCTACTACTAGCAAGTTGGTAAATTTAAAAATAGAAAGAGAATATTTTTCTACAATAGATGGAAATTATTTGTTAATTGAATCTTTATCTCTTTCCTTTTGATATAACAAAACAGGCAGACTACGTATAAAAAAGCACAAACTATAAATTAAGATAAAAACATGTTCTAGTTAAAACAAATGGTTCTGTCAGCCTAAATTAAAATTAAAAACAAGGAAATACACTGGTAGACATCTTTTGAAAAACAAGTCAAATACCAAAAGCAAACAATGAAAATTAGTGATAATTATTAGTTGTAGCAAGCATCTACCTATCACTTTCTTTTTCTCTGATCCTTTTGTCTTCTCGATTTTTTGGTTTGGCGCAAACTATAGTCTTCTTCGTTCATTAGTGCTCGATAAGATCTGCTGATTCTCTTAAAAACTCTGACTATACCATTCTTATATAAAGTGATCACCCTAATTCTGGACGGATCCTTTTCTCTTTTTCATTACAAATTAACCAATCTTTCGCATACACATCAGAAGCTTTAAAAAATACTCCCATTCATTATTATTTATTTGTTACTTCCACTTTAAAACAGTAATTAGGCATGCAACAGTTTTGGTTAACCAATATGACTGAAAAAATCTTTTTCTATTTGCACACATTCTTGAAAATACTTTTGAAACAGTATAGCTCAAGTAGAAATCGCGCATATTGCTTTTGAACTGTTTGGAGAGTCATTTTTTCAGCTACATACTTTCAGCAGTGTAACAAAAGATAACAGGAAGAGTTTAGAGGGTGGACTGGATAGTAGAAAGTCAAAATTACTGTGTACTCTGAACTGTCATGAGCTTCTCATCGAAAATGACTTCTTTTCCTTTGTAGATAAAGATTATGACATGGTGAGAGTGCCAGATGGTCGAGAAAGACTAAAAAACTGACTGCATCATGTGCTCGAAGAAGAATTCGAGTAAAACATGGTGTAGTCAAGTCTAAAAAAATGAAGCTAGAGCTATTCCCAAAGCGGAAATCGATAATGCATGACTTTCTTGAGGTATGCACATTGTTTTAGATATTTCTCCTCTGATGCGCATACTTCAAGCAAACAAGAAAGTCAAGCACATACCTCAAGCGTTGAGCACGACTAAGAAAGTCATGTGCATGAATACAAATCTATTAGTTTGCTAAGAGGAGAGTGCGGAGCATGCTGCAAAAGGGAAACTGGGTTTCTGAATATTCCTCTTAAGATCATTCTGAATTTGAAAAAAAAGAAAACATTATTTTTCAAAACGGAATAAGGTTCCGAAATGCGTGTAACACAATCGAAAAGGTCTTTTCTAAAACGCTAGAGAGTTTTAGTTTCTAACGC